TCTTGTCTAGCCTTGACTATAGTCTTGTCTTTTGTCCAGACTATAGTCGTGTCTATAGTCCAGACTATAGTCATGTCTATAGTCGTGTCTATAGTCCAGACTATAGTCGTGTCTTTAGTCCAGACTATATTCTTATATATTGTCCAGACTATAATATTGTATATAGTCCAGTCCATAGTCTGGGCTGTAGTCCAGACTATAGTCTTCTCTTTAGTCCAGACTATAGTCTTGTCTATAGTCCAGACTATATTCTTGTCTATAGTCCAGACTTTAATCTTGTCTATAGTCCAGACTATAGTCTTGTCTGTAGTCCAGACTATAGTCTTCTCTTTAGTCCAGACTATAGTCTTGTCTATAGTCCAGACTATAGTCTTGTCTATAGTCCAGACTATATTCTAGTCCAGACTATAGTATTGTATATAGTCCAGACTATAGTCTTGTCTATAGTCCAGACTATAGTCTTGTCTATAGTCCAAACTACAGTCTTGTCTATAGTCCTTTTGTCTTATTTAAAGTTCGGACCAGAGTCCAGACGATAGTCTTGCTTATAGTCCAAACTACGGTCTTGTCTAAAGTCCATACTATAGCCTTGTCTACAGTCCAGACTACAGTCTAGTCTATAGTCGAGATGAAAATCATATTTCTGCAGAAGTAATAACGACCTTAATGAACTTGAATGCAAACCTAAAAAGTACTTTAGTTTGTAAAAAAAGTACCACAAAGAAAACATACTGGTGTGTAGTAGAGACAACAACCAATAAAAAGCTTTTTTCTTTCGAACAGTGGGACAAACTAGGTTAAAAATCAAAGCTTATTCGCATTAGTCTTTCCATTCTATAAACCAAAGTAAAACCACATTTACTGATAAAATTTTCAAAAATTTCTTAAAAAATTTTATTGGAACACAATTGTTGTTTACTTTTACTTAAGTACATATTCATACTTTATCACTACAACACTATAAAAAAACTTAAATACTAATAAAGCACAATTTCGAAAAGAATCGTTTAATAATTAAGATGATTCATCTTAATTAAAAAAAAATAAAGCAATGGAAACACTGAATTGAGTGAAAATTTACTAAATGACACAATTATATACCCGCCTTATTATATAAAAAAAAGAAAATCGACAATAAGGCGAATAAATACTTTTAAAATTGCACACACTACAAAATAATTACAAAAATGAGAATGATATACGAGAAATATTTTAACTAAAAATTACTTTTTAAAAACAGAAAATTCTACCCTTAATGCCATCAAACGCGCAATGAGGTACGCATAGGTTTCTTACTCAAAGCTATTCTCTCCTGACGACGCTGCAGACATTCAAATCTAGTGATCGCCTTCTTGAGCAATAGAGTTTGTGGTGATAGATCTTTATCGTTGCGAGAAGTACGTGATTTGGGTTTAAATTCTTCTGTACTTTCGGTGTTAGCAAATAGCTTTTGTTTTCTGGTGGTGGTCACTGAACGTTTTGGTGTATCGCGGGCATTTCGTGTTGGAGTAGTAGTGGCATTATTTTGTTGGTTATCGTCATTATTATTTGTATTGGAGCGTTTTTCCTTTACCACATTATCACTTTTGGGATATTGTTTGATGGTACTGCAAAATGAAAAGAATTTTTCTTCATCGACTGTAGAAAAATGTCGCCGAAAACTATTATTACTGCAACGTGCTGGCTCCAAATTGGGTGTAGAACTTATATGCAAACTATCCATTAAAGTATCTAAAGCTGTATAATAAAAACCACTAGTATCCAGTTGAGCTTCACAAACTGCCATTTTTTATTTTTTTTTTACTTTTGGTAAATGTTTTATTTAATTTCTGGTTTTTTTGATGGAGAGAATTTCTCTGCTTAAGAACACACAACCAAATCGCACGACTTTGGGAAGTAAAATAATTTTAAAATACGATCACTCCTTTGTTAGAGCATTATTTGGGAAGGACAGAGAGCAAGAAGTTAAAAAGAGAGTGAATTTTTCATGTTAGGTAGAAAACCAGCATTAAATTTATAATGTTGGTTGAGTTTTGAAAAAGGGAAATATAATTAAGGTACTTTTTGTGTTTGAAAAGAGTACTTGACTAGGGAGAAAGAAACAAACTTAAAGAGAGTTCATATATCCCTTATATAGCAATAAGGAGTTAAACTTCAACTCTAGCAATATTTTAAACTAGTTTGCAAACAAATGATCTTTGTTTAGCATGATATTTTTAGCAGTTATTGCAAAAAGTACTATTTTCTTCATTATTGGTACCAATTAGCAGTTTTGCTCTAAACAACTCTAGTAATTGTATACAAACAGATTTAAAACATATGTCTATATGTCGCCTATATGTGACTTCTGAAACGTTTTCAAGAGAGGGATGTTTCACGATCATTTTTCAGCAAATGTTTGTAACCCAAAGAATTTTTAATTGTTGTATATTTTAACCCTCAAATGTACGTGTAATTGTTATTGTTAAGAGAAAATATTAAATGTCAATTCAATGCTGACAAGATCAATAGAGAAAAATCACTCTGCAGTTTAATGATCTTTTATACAAAAACAAAATTATATTGTAAAGGACTTGAAGTTTTCTTTAGAAAATGGGGGTAGTTTTGAGCACATAGTGATTTTTGTTGATTTTGTTTAAAATTATAAACTTTAAACTGGACTCTAGTCTAGACTATGATCTGAACTATAGACTATAGTCTTGACTATAGACAAGACTATAGTCTGGACTATAGACAAGAAAATAGTCTGGACTATAGACAAGACAATAGTCTGGACTATAGACTGAACTATAGACAAGAAGATAGTATAGACTAGACTATCGTCTGGATTATAGACAAGATTGTAGTCTGGATTATAGACTAGACTATAGTCTGGATTATAGACAAGATTATAGTCTTGACTATAGACAAGACTATAGACAAGGACTATATAGTCTGGACTATATACAAGACTATAGTCTGGACTATAGCAAGACTATAGTCTGGACTATAGACAATACTACAGTCTGGACTATAGACAATACTATAGTCTGGACTATAGACAAAACTATAGTCTGGATTATATACAAAACTATTGTCTGGACTATAGACAAGACTGTAGTCTGGACTATAGACAAGACAATAGTCTGGACTATAAACAAGACTATAGTCTGGAATATAGAAAAGAGTATAATCTGGACTATAGACAAGACTAGAGTCTAGATTACAGACAAGACTACAGTCTGGATTATAGACATGACTATAGTCTGAACTATAGACAAGACTATAGTCTGGACTATAGATAAGATTATTGTCTGGATTATAGACAATACTATAGTCTGGACTATAGACAAGAGTATAATCTGGACTATAGACAAGACTATAGTCTGGATTATAGACAAGACTATAGCCTGGAATATAGACAAGAGTATAATCTGGACAAGACTATAGTCTGGATTATAGACAAGACTACAGTCAGGACTATAGACAAGACTATAGTCTGGACTATAGACATGATTATAGTCTGGACTATAGACATGACTATAGTCTGGACTATAGACATGACTATAGTCTGGACTATAGACATGACTATAGTCTGGACTATAGACAAGACTATAGTCTGGACTATAGACATGATTATAGTCTGGACTATAGACATGACTATAGTCTGGACTATAGACATGACTATAGTCTGGACTATAGTCTGGACTATAGACAAGACTATAGTCTGGACTATAGACAAGACTATAGTCTGGACTATAGACGAGAATATAGTCTGGACTATAGACAAGACTATAGACGACACTATAGTGTGGACTATAGACTGGACTGTAGACAATACTCTAGTCGGATAATAGAATATACTCCAGTCTGGACTACAGACAAGACTATAGTCTGGACTATAGGTAAGACTATAGTCAGGACTATAGACAAGACTATAATCTGGACTATAGACAAGACTATAGTCTGGACTATAGACAAAACTATAGTCTGGATTATAGACAATACTACAGTCTGGACTATTAACAAAACTATAATCTTGACTATAAACAAAACTATAGTCTGGACTATAGACAGGACTATGGACTATACTATAGTCTGCTCTATACTACTATCTGGACTATGGGCTGTAGTCTAAACTATATTTCCAAATATTTATTAAAATTAAGACAGACCATAAAAATTTCAATTATCCTTGAAAATTTATTTAAAGGAAATATAATTTATTCATTAATAAAAAACATTTAAATAATGACCGACTAAATCCCAAATTGATTGATTGGGAAACAACACACACTATCAAGATTTCATTAGACAAATGGGAAAAAACACAATTAAACTTCTTTTTAAATCTCCATACTACAAAACACCACAACTTTGAGTTCCATTTTTGTCACCTTTAACCAATTAGGGTTAAATCGTAGTCTTTGTATATTTATTCAGTCTAAGAGCTAAATTAGTCACGTCTTTTGAACGCAACAAGAAACTATTTTTAAAATAGAAAAACAGCTGGAAACAGCCTTAAGGGATGTTTCTAACAAAGGACTACCTGCATTTCTTTCTTTGTCCTCAAAAACTAAGTCCTTTTTTAAACACAGGTCCTTGGCAAATACTAACTAAAACTGTAATGAGATAGCAAGTATTTGCCATTTTCTTATCACAACTATTATTAGTTTTTTCCCAATAATTTTACAAAAGAACAATAATATTGATTTATAGTCCTACAAGAGTTTTAGACAACAACAACAACTACTAATTTTGTATATCAACGTAACATGTTGAATGATAAGAAATAGCGTCAAATATATTAAAGCCGTCAAAAAAAGTCCCCTCTTGTTTGAGATAAGATTGCTCAAAATTAGTTCCAAATATGCACAATATTTAATATTTGCCATAAAATTTTGTTTATGTTAAATTAATCTTTATTAAAATTGATAGATTATCTTGTGAAGGTTTATTTTTATTGTGAATTTATACAGGAAATTTTACTTAAAACTATAAAATTATTAAAAAAAAGGTACTTAAGTAATTAAAAAAAAAAATGTTTATTTTCACTAAATTAAAAACATTAATTAATAGTCTTAAAGAAATCACGGAAATTTTGTGGTGCCGCTTCTCTAATAACTCTTTCCGTCATTTTCTTCACTTCCTCAGTACTGCCACTATCCTTGTGATAGTAGACCGTGAAGTAAACAATTAAACCGATAATTACCAATAGAACTACAGCGGAACAAATCAAACTGCAAAGCATTTTACAGGCACAATCACAGCAACTGTAAAATAGGAAAAGAAAATACAAAATTTAAATATTAAATTTAGAAAACAAGGGTTTAGTTTTGTTTATTTAAATGGGATGTTTGAATATCGGTGTGATATTTTAATCTTACTAAATCTTTCAAGTTAAAAATGCAAAGAAAAATGTGTATGTAAACAGTTTCAAGTATTTTTCTCTATAACGTTTAGGATTTTACTTTCTGTTTAAGGGATTATATTGGTAGTTATTAAGAAAGGTAGGGATTTTATTTTTGAACGAAAATTTTAAAGTTTTAGCATAACATATTATATATAAACTAACCCTCTTATTTTGAACCTTTATAACAATAATAAAACTTAGAATAAACTTTAAAAAAACGCTTTAAAAACTTTAGAAACTTATATACTTTACTGGCCAGATTAAGGTCCAGTCTGTAATACAGCCTATTGTCTATAGTGCAGACTTTAATCTTATCTATAGATTTGTTTATATTGCATATAATAGAACTGTTTATAATCCAATATATATAGTATTTGCCTATAGTCGAGGCTATAGTCTTGTTTGTAGTGGAAATTATATTGTAGTCTTGTATATAGTCCCGATTATAGACTTGTCTATAGTCCAGACTTTAGTCTGGTCTAGAGTCAAAACAAGAGACTTTTCTATGGTCCAAACTATGGTATTGTTTATAGTCCAGACTATATATACATATTATTCTCTATAATCCAGATTATAGTCTTGTCTAGAGTCCAGACAATAATCTTGTCTATAGTCCAGACTAAAGTCTTGTCTATAGTCCAGACTTTTCTATAGGTCAGACTATAGTCTGTTCTATAGACTTGTCTATAGTCCAGTCTAAAGTCTTAGCTATAGTCGTGACTATAGCTAGTCTTTTCTATAGTCCAGACTATAGTCTTGTCTATAGTCCAGACTATAGTCTTGTCTATAGTCCGGAATAGTCTTGTCTATAGTCCAGACTATAGTCTTGTCTATAGTCCGGAATAGTCTTGTCTATAGTCCAGACTATAGTCTTGTCTATAGTCCAGACAATAATATTGTCTATAGTTCAGACTATAGTCTTGTCTATAGTCCATACTATAGTCTTGTCTATAGTCCAGACTATAGTCTTGTCTATAGTCCAGACTATAGTCCAGACTATAGTCTTGTCTATAGTCCAGACTATAGTCTTGTCTATAGTCCAGACTATAGTCTTGTCTATAGTCCAGACTATAGTCTTGTCTATAGTCCAGACTATAGTCTTGTCTATAGTCCAGACAATAGTCTTGTCTATAGTCCAGACTATAGTCTTGTCTATAGTCCAGACTATAGTCTTGTCTATAGTCCAGACTATAGTCTTGTCTATAGTCCAGACTATGGTCTTGTCTATAGTCCAGACTATAGTCTTTTCTATAGTCTAGTCTATAGTGTTTTATATAGTCCGGATTATAGTCCATTTTATAGTCTTGAGTATATTGCAATCTTTCGTTTTGTTTGTAGTCCAGACTAATGTACTGTCTTTAATCTAGACTATAATATTGACAAAGATGTTGCTTATAGTCTTGTATACAATATAATTTAGTCCAGTCTAGTCTATAGTCCAGACTAAAGTCATGCATTTAGTCCAGACTAACATCATGTCTCTAGTCTGGACTATAGTCTTGACAAAGGTCCCGATTGTAATCTTGTCTACAATCCAGACTCTGATCTAGTCTATAGTCCAGACTATAATCTAGCCTACAGTCCATACTATTGTCTTGTCTATAGTCCATATAAAAGTCTGATCTATATTCAAAAATATACCCTGATATATTGTCCAGAATATAGCCAGATTGATAGTCCAGAATATAGTCTAATTTATAGTTCAGATTATAGAATTTTTTATATGCTGTTCTATATATCTTTTTATAATCCAGATTATAGTCCAGACTATATAAAAACATAAAGTGGAAATGTTTAAATTTGTTTTTGCTTTATAAATTTTTCATTTAAAAAGTCTCACTACCTTTTTCAACTTTTTGTAAAACCCATTAACAATTATCTTTTGTAAATACACTTCAAATATACACGAATATATCGTGCAGTTCGAATTTAACGTATCAGTCATTTGTGTAGACTTTCAGTTAGTCACCAAGTAAATAAATATATTAAAACTTTTTCGAACAATTGTGTTGTTTGTTATTTTTTTAATATTTATTAATTTTCTGAGACAATTAGCGTATAATTAACTTTATTTTTTCGAGATATACCTACAATATTTAAAGAAATGTTTAAACAGTTTGGCGGCTAAGGCAACAAATAGGGCAATATTTTTTTTGGGTTGATTTTATAGGTAATACAAATATGGGTTAAATATTTGTTGAGAATTTAATCGAAATTTTGGAATGTTCGAAAATCATTTAATCGGGTGTTATATTTGAAATTGTTTTTGCATGTTTTTAAAATTAATCGTATTTTAATCTGATCTTTAGAGAAATCTCTATAATTTTACTAGATCTCGGGTGCTACGACTAACTTCTTCTAGATATCGAAAAACTAGCATAAACTTGTACCACGATCGCTTTTACTACACTTACAAGTTAGAGTTCATATTTAAACATTTATTTTTACTAAAAATCAGTTCACACTTAAGTCACAATATGGTTGGTTACACACTTTTTACGATTTGTTTTTAAAAACCCGATGACTCATGATTATAATTCTTACCAGCATACAACTTTGCCAGGACACTTAAGAACTTCCAACAAACAATTACACATTTTGCTTTAATTAATTAATCGAATTCCAAAAAAATATTTCAAATAATTAAAATTTTCTCAACTTGTTAGGAAAAAACTGTTACGCGTATATGTTCCACTGCTAAACGTTAATATATAACTAAAGCTTTATGCTAGAGACCCACTCATTGTTTAGGGAGTTTTAGCCATTTTGTTAATTGTTTTTACTGTATTTCATTCTCAATATACCAATATACTGATAATATTGTTTTTATAGTCTTATTTTAGCTTATCAGTTGTATATCAGATATTATATACTATATAGTACTGGTTGTCGTCGACGATAGGATAAGTGTGCTCGCAGTAAAAGGTATTGATCTAAATTGTTGACACTTTGAAATATTGTTGGAAATCTGCGTATCATAATCAAGCTAAAAGGTATGTATAAAGTTGTTGTTTTTGTTGTTAAATTTTTTAAAAATATTACTTTAATTAAAGTGGAAATAATTACAACACAAAAAAAGGCTAAAAGAATTTAAGTTTAATAACAGAATAGATAATTAAAGATTTTGATTTGAAACTAAAAGGGTGACCTACATTATTCGAACTTCGAAGTTCGAATTTTCAAACATTATAAAATTAATATTATAACGGAAAACTTCATAAAATCGATATATAACAATTTTTGAGGAAAATTTGTAATTTCGAAAATGAAAAAGAATTTTCAAACATAAACAAATATGTTGGAAACATCATTTGCAGAAATTATTGAATTTTGAGCAAAAATTTTATTTCTAAATTAAGTTCGAATTTTCGAAATTGATTGAAAATAACAAAAAAAGTTGAAATATATTTTCAAAATTTGAAAAAACATAAATTTCTTTAAATTTAATAATTTTTATAATAAAACCTAATTTCGAAATTAAGTTCGAATTTTCGAACATGGTCAAAAATTTTAAAACTTTAAAAAAAATTATTTAGAAATAGAGAGAAATTAACATATTTATAAAATTTTATTAATTTTGATCAAAAATAAAAGTTCGAAATTAAATTCGAATTTTCGAAATTGATTAAACTATATTAAAACTATGAAAAAACTTGAAAAACATTTGAAAAATTAATAAAAACCATAAAATTGATAAATTTTGATAATTTTTGCAATAAATCAAAGTTTCGAATTTTCGAACATGGCCAAAAACGTAAAATTTAAAAAAAAATGATTTAGAAATAAATAGAAATTGATTTTTTTATTAAAATTTATTATTTTCGGACAAAAACAAAATTTCGAAATTTTATTCGAATTTTCGGAGTTGATTAAAAAAAGTTTAAAAAACTTATTAATAAGTGATTAGAAATGTATAAATTTTTTTAATTTAAACAATTTTGCAATAAAACCCAATCTCGAAATTAAATTCGAATTTTCGAACATGGCCAAATAGCATAAAAAAAAATTTAATCAAAATGATAAATAAGAAAAATATTTTCAAAATAATGAAAATATCATGAATACTAAAAATTCTTCCTTTAAAACACACTTTCGAAATTAAGTTCGAAATTTCGAACATGGCTAAAAATTAGCAAAATTTAAAAAAATCTTTTGAAAAATATAACAAAAGTAAATTTTATAACATTTAATACATTTTTAGGCAAAAAATAGAATTCGAAATTAAGTTCGAATTTTCGAACATTGACTAAAATTGTTAAAACTTGGATAAACCATTAAATTTCTTAAAATTTTCATAAATTGAAACATTTTTGCTATAAAATACACTTTCGAAATTAAGTTCGAATTTTCGAACATAGTTAAAAATTAGCAAAAATTTAAAAAATCTTTTGAACAATATAGCAAATATAAGTTTTAATAAAATTTTATAAATTTTGAGACAAAAATAGAATTCGAAATTAAGTTCGAATTTTCGAACTTTGACTAAAATTGTTAAAAACTGAATAAACCATAAAATTTCTTAAAATTTTCATAAATTGAAACATTTTTTCTACAAAATACACTTTCGAAATTAAGTTCGAAATTTCGAACATGATTAAAAATTAGAAAATTTTCAAAAAATCACTTTAAAAATATAACAAATATAAGTTTTTATAAAATTTTACATTTTGAGACAAAAAATAGAATTCGAAATTATGTTCGAATTTTCGAACATTGACTAAAACTGTTAAAAAATTAATAAACTATAAAATTTCTTAAAATTTTTATAAATTTAAACATTTTCACTATAAAACACACTTTCGAAATTAAGTTCGAATTTTCGAACATAGTTAAAAATTAGCAAAAATTTAAAAAAATCTTTTGAAAAATATAACAAATATAATTTAATAAATTTTGAGACAAAAATAGAATTCGAAATTAAGTTCGAATTTTCGAACATTGACTAAAATTGTTAAAAACTTGATAAATATGTAATTAGAAATTTAATTTAATCACTTTACCCATAAAATAAAATTTCAAAATTAAGTTGGAATTTTCGAACATTATTAAAAATTAATCTGTAAAATATCCTTAAATCTTTAAAAACATTTATTAATGTTATAATTTTAAGCAAAATTTTCGAATTTTCGAAAATTAAAAAAAGTCTTGAAATTTCGTCTAGAAAGGAGTGAATGAATTTTGAATTTTCCGTGAATTAAAACTTTGATAAATTAAAAACTATAAATAAAACAGCGCATGTGCTTACCTTATAACGAATTATTTGTTTGAAAAAAGATGGAGAATTAGTTCTCCGAAAGATTTGAAGCTTCAGACGTTGTAAAATCCTAAAACAAAAAGTAATTTATACAAATTAAATAAATAATTGTATGACAATCTTAACTAGATATCCAGGCTCTTCTACATAATCTATTACAATAGCTTTGGCATTAGCATTATCATCATAATAGTGATGAAAAATGAAATAATAGATTATAGCCCCAATTATAACGATAAATAAAATACCCGAAAGTATTTGTAGGAAAAAACTCAAAGCGCAGGCGCAGCAACTAGAAAAAAAAACCAGAAATTAAAACAAAATTAAATGTGGACAACAAATTCTTACCAGCAAGCAATTTCTCCAACAAAATTTCCCATTTTTTTTACATTTAAATTCTATAATAAATTATTTAAAAGCTTGCAATAATTATATATACCACCCTATTAATTGTAGGTGATAATTTCTATTATCAATTTGATTATTTTCTACTAATGAATAGGTCGTCTGTCCAGTTAAGTTCTTATCGCCTCAGTTTTAATAGATAAAATAAAAAAAATTTAACACAAAAAAATATTTTCTTTTTTGCTTTTCAAAATCAAAACAAATTTTGACAATTTCTACGAAACTAATCATAATTTGATGACTTTTATCATTAATAGGGGGTTTTGTTATTAGAAATAAACAGGGAACAAAATTTTACATTTTTTTTATCAATATTCTTGAAATGAGTCATTTCTAGTACTTAATTAAATGGCAAACTATTTAAAACATATTTATGCATATCGTTATTGTTTTTTTAGAATTTTGACACCTTTATTTGCTTTTTCTTTGCAATTTCTTTTGAAAAGTTTAAAACAAATATGGAAAATTGTGTATCAAACAAATGAAAAAAAGAAACCGTCAAAATTGTTAGTTTAGTTTTTGTTTAATGGCATTGCAATGTCATATTCATTCATGTACTTGTATTTCCAATACACTTTTTTTATATACACATAGATAAATAGGTATTAACTAATATTGCATTCATATTTTAATTAACCAATAGGGTTTTCATTATAAGTTTTGTGGGATTTGGAAATTTTTTTTTGAAAATGTCCCATATGTTTCGCCAAATTGAGAAAAAACCACATAAAGTACAGACTATAGTCCGGAATATAGACTAGACTGTAGATCATACTATAGACTTGTCTATAGTCCATTATGTAGACTATATATAGACCAGACTATAGACTAGACTATAGACTAGACTATAGACTAGACTATAGACTAGACTATAGACTAGACTATAGACTAGACTATAGACTAGACTATAGACTAGACTATAGACTAGACTATAGACTAGACTATAGACTAGACTATAGAGTAGACTATAGACTAGACTATAGACTAGACTATAGACTAGACTATAGACTAGACTATAGACTAGACTATAGAGTAGACTAGACTAGACTATAGACTAGACTATAGACTAGACTATAGACTAGACTATAGACTAGACTATAGACTAGACTATAGACTAGACTATAGACTAGACTATAGACTAGACTATAGACTAGACTATAGACTAGACTATAGACTAGACTATAGACTAGACTATAGACTAGACTATAGACTAGACTATAGACTAGACTATAGACTAGACTATAGACTAGACTATAGAGACTTAGACTATAGACTAGACTAGACTATAGACTAGACTATAGACTAGACTATAGACTAGACTGTAGACTAGACTATAGACTAGGACTATAGACTAGACTATAGGACTAGACTATAGACTAGACTATAGACTAGACTATAGACTAGACTATAGACTAGACTATAGACTAGACTATAGACTAGACTATAGACTAGACTATAGACTAGACTATAGACTAGACTATAGACTAGGACTATAGACTAGACTATAGACTAGACTATAGACTAGACTATAGACTAGACTATAGACTAGACTATAGACTAGACTATAGACTAGACTATAGACTAGACTATAGACTAGACTATAGACTAGACTATAGACTAGACTATAGACTAGGACTATAGACTAGACTATAGACTAGACTATAGACTAGACTATAGGACTAGACTATAGACTAGACTATAGACTAGACTATAGACTAGACTATAGACTATAGACTAGATATAGACTATAGACTAGACTATAGACTAGACTATAGAGACATAGACTATATAGACTATACAGATAGACTAGACACTATAATAGACTAATATAGACAACTATGACTAGACTATAGACTAACTATAACTAGACTTAGACTAGACTATAGACTAGACTATAGACTAGACTATAGACTAGACTATAGACTAGACTATAGACTATAGACTAGACTTAACTAGACTATAGACTATAGACTACTATAGAACTATGACTATGACTAGACTATAGACTAGACTATAGACTAGACTAACTATAGACTAACTAAACTAGAAAGACTAGACTATACTAGACTGACTATAGACTATAAGACTAACATACTAGACTATGAATAGACAACTATAGACTAACTAGAGACTAGAAAATAGTCTAGAACAACGGTTACCAAATGGGGGTCCGCGGACCCCTAGTGGTCC